TACATATATACTCTCTTGTATTTATTTATTTATTTGTTAATTGTTAAGCTTCTTAATCACCTGAGTCTAAATTTTAATACCATAACTATGCATTTGCATGTGAGCTGGTATAAAAAAAAATCCTTGAATCCAGTAGTTGTTGCTTTCCAATAGTCATTGCATCAAGTGTTTACAACTGTAGATAAACGCAGATGTTGAACAGCCTGTTAAAATACACCAAAATGCGGGGAGAGACCTGCAGACACCCCCACCCCTTCCCCACTACAATTCCCTTCCCCCGTGTCTCCCCCCACACACACTATTTGTGTTCCGCATCGATCGGTTTACAAATCAAGCCATGGCTGAGATACTGAGCTGAACCCTCAGAACCCAGTTCCTCTGGTAGAAGACCAGAATTTGAAATGAAGTGGAACTGACCATATGGAAAAAATTTTATTTTACACGCGCACACACACACACACACACGCACACACACACACACACACACGTACTGTATAATCTAAATAAATTCATGTTTAGAAAATTCCAGACATGTAACCTAAAATGAACACGAAATTTAAAGGCACATTTGAACATAAACCATGACATATGCACACAGGGTTCAAATGTCACAGTTCAATCAACCTTATAAAACTGTTTAGAGCATGTTTTTCTGATTGACGTGTACTTCCTAACTCTGCCTGATAGAGACGAGGCTTGGCATCACACCTACTGTGAGTCACGTGAACTGGATGTTTTGCTACATGACAGGCAACAAGGTGGAACACAGCACAGTCTAGTTTGTCCAGAAAGGTAAAACATATCTCTTATGTTCTCTTTCTTTATGCAATATGTGAGGACAAACCAGTTTTACCAAACTCAGGTAGTTTTTAACCTATCATCGGTTTAGTTCTTACTCTTTCAGAGTGAAATAAAGGTCATGGCACTCACTTCAATGCTGTCCAAAGCCACTTCAATGTTTGCCATTCGTCCTGCTCCCCTCTCTTGGGACGAGGTCAACAGAACATCTCTGGCCTGGTCCCAGTGGCCCATCTGACAGTACACAGCTGCTGCATTGTGTAACACCTAGAGGGCACATCACAACACTAAATGTTAGCTCCATCCATTACTGTAGAACTTTCTGTAGCTGCAATCTCTACTAAGACTGCAGCAAACACTAACAATGTCATCCTTCTCAACTTTTGGTTTTGACAAAATTACTCTTTTCTTCTGGGACTAAAAACTTCTAATCCCTGTGAGAAGATGGGAATTGTTAAAAAAATAAATAAGAAAATACATATTATTACTCAAGCCCAAAAGCAAAATGATCATGTTTTTGTCAGATGTGTGTCATTTGTTTGAACTGTTAGCAAAATATCTCATGAACCACTGGATGGAAACAGCAGACAGGATGGTTCAGAACAGGACTGTCCCTGAGGGTCAGGTTAAACCGTTCTGGACAGTTTCTTACAGTTTCATATAAAGTCATGTTTGTGAGACTATTACTGACTGAAGAAATGCACATGCACATTCTGGGTGAGCAGGTTTGGCATGTCCTGTTAGCCCATCAGAACTATGTGAAGTTGTTTAACTCCTTTTTCTGCCTCGATCAATGAGCTGTTGTTGCTCCCAGGTGTGTGGGCGGGATGACGCAGCACAACTTTCAGCTCCTGCAGCAGTCCTTGGAGACTTATCTTGGTTTCATCTTCTGTAGTCTCACAAAGTACATGTATTGGGCAGGGGGTGTCCCTGCAGTTGTGTGTGTGTGTGTGTGTGTGTGTGTGTGGGGGGGGGGGGGGGGGGGGGTGTCTGAATGTGAGACCTGCCAGCTGAAGAGTTTGAATCTCAGTCCCAGCTGTTTGTAGTCGATGACCGCGTTACCTCTCATGTGCTTCTGAGCCCAGATACAGTTAGACAAGGCCTCCTCCAACCTGGACACATACACACAATGATTTTAGTTATATTATCAATATATTAGTGTAGCACTAATTGTTCACAAGTGAGGGAAGAATGGAGAGTGAAATTGACAGATGGACTGGTGCAGCGTCTGCAGTACAGCGGGCTTTGTGCTGGTCCGTTGTGGTGAAGAGGGAGCTGAGCTGTAAGGCAAGGCTCTATGTTTACCAGTCAGTCTACATTCCTACCCTCATCTATATTCATGAACTCTGGGTAGTGACAGAAAGAATAAAATTCTCCCTTAGAAATAGGGTGAGAAGTTCAGTTATCTAGGAAAGACTCTGAGTAGAACCACTGCTCCTCCACATCAAGAGGAGCCAGTTGAAGGATGCCCTGGGCACCTCCCTAGGGAGGTGCTTCAGGCATGTCCGACTGGGAGGAGACCCTGGGGAAGATCCAGGACACGCTGGAAAGACTATATCTTTTGGTTGGCCTGGGAACACCTTGTAATTCTCCCATAAGAGCTGGAAAAGGTGACTGTGGAAAGAGATGTCTGGACCTCCCTGCTCAAGCGACCCAACTTCAGAAGAAGCGGAAGATGGATGGATGGTTATCATTACAAATAGAATAAAATAAGTCATCTTTGTAATGATGGTAAGTTTTACTGTTTACTTGGTTTTAGTGCCAAGCTGGTCTGGAAAGCTCAGTCCTAACCTCCTTCTACAGGTGTGCAGTGGAGAGCATCCTGTGGTCCAGCATCAACATGTGGCATGGAGGCTGCACAGCTGCAGAAAGAAAAGCTTTGCAGAGAGTGGTGAAGGCTGCACAAAAGACTGTTGGAGTCAGTCTCTCCACAATCACAGACATTTACACCTTCACATGCAGGAAGAGGACCACCTGCATCATGAAGGACCACACTCACCCAGCACACACACTTATGGCCCCACTCCCCTCAGGAAGGAGGTTAAGGAGCATTAAGCATAGAACCACTAGACTGAGGAACAGATTCTACCCTGAAGCTGTTAGACTCATAAATCCCTAACCAGGATAATCACTGTGAAAAATCAGATAATGTTGCTGCTGATCTATTTCATGCTGCTGATCTATTTCATGCTGCTGTGTTCATTCATAATCATCTGCTCACACAGACTCATGTCCGTGCTGCTGTTCAGTGTATTATGTTTATTGTTTTTATGCTATTAGTGCTTAGTGTATATTTAGTTGATGTTTTTCTTAGTTCATATCTTAGATCTTCTAAAAAAGTTAAATCTGGTCCTCTGGACATTAAAAAAAAAAAAAAAAAAAAAAAAATGTAGAAACGTTTCGTCTCTCATCCGAGAGACTTCCTCAGTCTGCGGTGCTGTATTCAGCTCAGTCTCTTAAATAGCACCTTCTCAGAGTGGATCAACCAGTTTTGCTGCTGACAACCAAAACCAGCTGATTTAACCAGCAGATTTAACTTTTTTAGATTTTTCTACCTGGATTATTGAGCATGCATCAGGATATCTTAGATCTTATTACTGATTTTCTTTTACATTTTATTGTTGGATGTAACTGGGACTCTGTGTACATAATCTTGTGATGCAAATGACAATAAAGAAATTCTGACTCTGATTATTGATAAATGTTGCTGCCCTCAACAACCAGTTCCAAGAGGAACTCAGAGAGTTCACCGTGCTGCTCAGCTGCAGTTGTGTTTGGATGTTTCTGAGTCCTACCTGCCCAGCTGCATCATCACCGCCGCTCTTTGGAAAAAAGCCACAGCGAGACGTTCATCTTTGGCGATGGTGAAGTCTAAAGACTGGACAGCCAACAAATTAACACATCAAAGTTTTAAAATGTGTCTTTAGTTTTCATTGAAAAACTGAGCTGTAGTGACAAAAGAAACAGCAGCACAATGAGCGTGTTTGTATTGTTTGTTCCTTTCAAACAAAAATCACTTCAATACCACTAAACCATCAGATCACAACCTGCAGAAGCAACAAATATTGTATTAAATCATCTGTACTTGTTAGTACGCACCCTCTGAGCCAAGTCCAGCTGTCCCAGGGCCAGGTGAGCTGAGGCAGCGTTGAAGTGTAAGCGTGAGGTTGGTTCAGTGATGAGCTGCAGTTTGGCCAAAGCTCCCAGCCAGTCCTTGGCATCCAGCAGCTGCACCGACTCGTTCCACAGCTGCAACAATTCTGTGTACAGCATGCTGGGCTGCAGACACCCAAGCACCGCCAAACACAGGGCACGTTAAATCACTGCACTCTGCTTTGAGTCATTACAAACTTTGAAGAAAAAAACAGTCTGTGAGCAACAGATCTGTTCAAACTCTCAATTTTGACTCGTACCTAAGGATGATGATGGTTCAGGTAGAAATATGATCTCTGAATGGGAATGGCTTCAAAAACAGCCCAAAGGTCCAGAGGAAAGCGAACCTGAACGACAGCAGAACATTTCCAAATTACATTCTTAACAAGATGTGTCACAGTTCACAGTACATCAATAATAAAAATCCATCCATCCATTTTCTTCCGCTTATCCGTGTTCGAGTCGTTGGGGTAGCAGCTTAAGTAGGGAGGCCCAGACTTCCCTCTGCCCAGCCACTTGGGCCAACTCCTCTGGGTGAATCCCAAGGCATTCCCAGGCCAGCCAAGAAACATAGTCCCTCCAGCGTGTCATGGGTCTTCCTCTGGGTCTCCTCCCAGTGGGACATGCCTGGAACACCTGACCAGGGAGGCATCCAGGAGGCATCCTAACCAGATACCCGAGCCACCTCAACTGGCTCCTCTCGATGTGGAGAAGCAGAGACTCTACTCTGCGTCCCTCCCGGATGACCAAGCTTCTCAGCCTATCTCTAAGGGAGAGTCCCGACACCCTGCAGAGAAAACTCATTTCGGCCGCCTGTATCCGTGGTGTCGTTCTTTTGTTTAAAACCCAAAGCTCATGACCATAGATGAGGGTAGGAACGTAGATCGACCAGTAAATTGAGAGCTTCGCCCTTTGACTCAGCTCTCTCTTCACCACGACAGACCGGGACAGCGCCTGCTTCACTGCCGACGCTGCACCTATCCTCCTATCGATCTCACACTCCATTTTTCCTTCATTCGTGAACAAGACCCCAAGATAATTGAACTCCTCCACTTGGGGCAGGACCTCCTCCCCAATCCGGAGAGGGCACTCTACCCGCGTCACACTCGGCTACGAACCGCTCCAGTGAAAGCTGTGGATCACGACTTGATGAAGCCAATAGGACCACATCATCTGCAAAAAACAGAGAAGAGAACCTAAGGCCACCAAAACAGATCCCCTCAACACCTTGTCTGTGCCTAGAAATTCTGTCCATAAAAGTTATGAACAGAATCGGTGACAAAGGACAACCTTGGCAGAGCCCAACTCTCACTGGGAACGAGCCCGACTTACTGCCGGCAATGCGGACCAAGCGCTGACACCGGTCGTACAGGGACCTAACAGCCCGTATCAAAGGGCCTGGTACCCCAAACTCCCAGAGTACCCCCACAGGGTTCCCTGAGGGATGCAGTCAAATGCCTTTTCCAAGTCCACAAAGCACATCTAGACTGGTTGGGCAAACTCCCACTCAACCTCTGGGACCCTGCTGAGGGTATAGAGTTGGTCCAGTGTTCCACGACCAGGACAAAAACCGCATTACTCCTCCTGAATCCGAGGTTTGACTATCCGATGGATCCTCCTCTCCAGAACCCCTGAATAGACCTTACCAGGGTGGCTTAAGAGTGTGATCCCCCTGTAGTTGGAACACACTCTATGGTCCCCTTTTTTGAATAGGGGGACCATCACCCTAGTCTGCCAATCCAGGGGAACTGCCCCCTATGTCCATGCAATATTGCAGAGTTGTGTAAGCTAACACAACCCCACAACATCCAGAGCTTTAAGGAACTCCAGGCGAATCTCATCCACCCCTGGGGCCCTTCCACAGAGGAGCTTTTTAACCACCTCGGTGACCTCTGCATCAGAGATTGGAGAGCCCAACCCAAAGTCCCCAGGCTCCGCTTCCTCAGTGGAAGACGTGCTGGTGGGATTGAGAAGGTCTTCGAAGTATTCTGCCAACTGACCCATGACATCCTGAGTTGAGGTCAGCAGCACACCACCTCCACTATAATTAGTGTTGGTGGCATTCATTCATTCAACCTTTATTTAAAACAGATAAATCAATTGAGCCTCGAAGACTCATCTACAAGTGAGACCTGTCTGGACAGACAAAAACAGTGGTTAACTGGACGCATGTAGGAGTTGGAGGCGAAAAAAATTCCTATCAGACTTTTTTCTTGGCTGAGAAAAACCTCTAATATTGAAAAAACACCTCACACAAACAAGCACATATTTACATAGACATTCTGCAATAGAGCAGAGCAGGAAGAAGGAAGAAACGAAAGTGGCCAACAACGCTTATAGCTGCTCTCGAGGTCACTGTAATCAGTCAATGTCCTCCGGTGAGATCCATAAACATTCTTGAGGTATGTCAAGGAATGGCCAAGAATAGCCCCTGAGAATCCAGAGTGCTGAAATGATGACACAAAATTTTTTCAGCGGGGTTTCATCTGGTTATCAGTTGGAAATTCCTCAAGGAGGGGGTGGTGAGTGTCAGATCACATTTTCTCCAGGCGAAATTCAGATAAGGTGGCCTTCAAGGACAGCCAAGGCGACCAAAATTTAGATAAACACACAGTTGTTTTGGAGACAGGCAGAACTTAATGACATCTACCTTGAGTCTGTGTTTGGTCCACTCGATTCCGAAATGTCCAAAATAACATGGACACACCGATGGAACATGACTGAGTAAAAATCCTCAAGATCTGATCCATTCAGCCCAAAGCATTTGAGTCCGGGTACTCGAGACATGAAACCAAACCAAAGCATTCCGCTTCCCTCCCCCCGAGACACCGGATTGTGGTCCAGAATTGCCTCGAAGCCGTACGGAAGTCATTCTCCATGGCCTCTCCGAACTCCTCCCACACCCGGGTTTTTGCCTCAGCAACCACCCGAGCTGCATGCTGCTTGGACTGCCAGTACCCATCAGCTGCTTTCGGGATCCCACAGGCCAAAAAGGCCCAATAGGACTCTTTCAGCCTGACAGCATCCCTCACCACCAGAGTCCACCACCGGGTTCAAGGGTTACTGCCGTAACAGGCACCTTGCAGCCACAGCTCTGATAAGCCGCTTCGACAATAGAAGCGTGGAACATGGCCCAATCGGTCTAAATGTCCGTGCCTCCCCCGGAACATGTTTGAAGCTCTCTGGGAGGTGAGCGTTAAAGCTCCGTCTCACGGGAGACTCTGCCAGACATTCCCAGCAGACCCTCACAATATGTTTGGGTCTGCCAGGTCTGACCGGCATCCTCCCCCACCATCAGAGCCAACTCACCACTAGGTAGTGGTCAGTGGACAGCTCCGCCCTTCTCTTTACCCGAGTGTCCAAGACATGCGGCCACCGATCAAATGAGATGACAATAAAGTTGATCATCGAACTGCGGCCTAAGGTGTCCTAGTGCCAAGAGGTCACCCTTATGCCTGAACATGGTGTTCGTTATAGACAATCCATGATGAGCACAACATAAGTACAACAGAACACCACTCGGGTTCAGATCAGGGGGGTCGTTCCTCCCAACCACACCCCTCCAGGTCTCACTGTCATTGCCCACATGAGCGTTGAAGTCCCCCAGTAGAACAAGGGAGCCCCCAGGAGGCGCACTCTCCAGTACCCCCTCTAAAGGACTCCAAAAGGGGTGGGTAATCTGAGCTGCCATTTGGTGCATAAGCACAAACAACAGTCAGAACCTGTCCCCCCACATGTAGGCGGAGAGAGGCTACTCTCTCGTTCACTGGGGTGAACCCCAATGTAAAGGCACCAAGATGGGGGGGTAACAAGTATGCCCACTCCTGCTTGGCGCCTCTTGCCAGGGGCAACTCCAGAGTGGAAGAGTGTCCAACCCCTCTCAAGGAAACTGGTTCCAGAGCCAGAGCCATGTGTTGAAGTGAGTCTGACTTTCTAGCTGGAACCTCTCAAACTCACACACTAGCTCAGGTTCCTTCCCCACTAGAGAGGTGACATCCCACGTCCCAATAGCCAGTTTCTGTAGCCAAGGATCAGACCGCCAGGATCCCCGCCCTCGGCCACCACCCATCCCACATTGCACCCGACCCCTTTGGCCCCTCCCACAGGTGGTGAGCCCATGGGAAGGGGGACCCACATCTCCTCTTTGGGCGGTACCCGGCCGGGCTCCATGTGTAAAAGCCCGGCCACCAGGCGCTCGCCAGAGTGCCCCACCTCCAGGCCTGGCTCCAAAATGGGGCCCCGGTGACCCACGTCCATGCCAGGGAACACTGTTTCTGTTGATTGTGCTTATCATAAGGGGTCTTTAGGCTGCAGTTTGTCTGGTCCCTCACCTAGGACCTGTCTGCCTTGGGTGACCAAGCTAGGGGCATGAAGCCCCTGACAGCATAGCTCCTAGGATCATTGGGAAGCTCAAACCCCTCCACCACGGTAAGGTGGCAGCCCAGGGAGGAGCAATAATAATCAATAATCAATAATAATCAATAATCAGTGTATTACTGCTGACGAGATGAAGGTAGAAAGTCGTGTTTTTCCTCTCTGTCTGTCTGTCTGTCTGTCTGTCTCTGTCTGTCTGTCTCTGTCTCTCTCTCTGTTTGTCTCTGTCTGTCAGTCTGTTGCTCTGTATGTCTGTCTGTCTCTCTGTCTGTCTATCGCTGTCTGTCTCTGTCTGTGTCTCTCTGTCTGTCTGTCTTTATCTGTCTATCTGTCTCTCTCTGTCTCCCTCTGTCTTTCTCTCTGTGTCTCCCTCCCCCTCTCTCTGCCTCTCGCTCTGTCTATCTGTCTCTCTCTGTCTTTCTCTCTCTGTCTCCCTCCCCCTCTCTCTGTCTCTCTCTGTATGTCTGTCTTTCTGTCTCTGACTGTCTGTCTCTCTGTCTGTCTCTGTTGCTGTCTCTCTGTTTCTCTCTTCGTGTGTGTGTTTGGCTGATTAACTAAAATCATGACCTAACTAGAAACTACTGATACTTTGAGTCAGAGTCAATGCTGAGAATTTACAGAGTAATGAAAATGAATACTCAGACAGTACTTATGGGGGATCAATTGATAAAGTATTTACAGTGATCCAATCAGGGTACACTGTGGGGTACTTTTGGGGGTACCTACAGAGTACTGAAAGAGTAGTATTTTTGGATAATTATAGAGAATGTACAAGTGTACACACAGTTTGTATAAGGTACTCAGAGGATATTAGTATTTGCATGGGTACTTAGACAGTACTTACAGTGTACCGAACCGAGGTGGCTGTGGGGGACTTTGTCTTCAACAGAGCCGGTCTCAGCTTCAGTGAGCAGCCCGTTACTTTTACCGAAGGACTGTCCACCTCCGTGA